TCAACAAATTCTTTGATTTAACATCTTTGATTTAATTTAAATGTTTAATCAGTTCCTTATTTAAGAACACATGTCCAGTCGAATGTATTTGAAGGTGTATGTAACTGCTTATTACAATCGTACGCTAAGTATTTTGTCAGGAATGTGTTATGTTTGCACATGTGTTGTGTTAGGATCTTGTTGTCACAATCTCAACCCCATGAGTTTTTGTCTCCGGCACTCTTGTTGTTTGTACAGTTCTTGGACTGTTTTTTAAAGGTGAAGGTCCATTCCCACGACACGTTGCACGCATTTTATTACAACACGGTGCGAGAGGCCACTCCCCCTGCTGGATGGCTAATGCTTAAACAATACAAGGAACTACTGAATCCATTTTCATAGCGATATGAGTCCCCTTGTGTGATTCTCATTTCCCTTCACACTGACTGTTTATGTCATTTATTTATCTATTGGTACAGTTGACCAGTGTGCGACAGATCGGACAAAATGAATTAGACGACTAATTCCTAGGGCAGCTTTTAACACACCACCACCAAACTAATTAAGAGTTTTGGAATGTAGCTTATGTTATTATGCACACCTTAGATTGTCAGATACATTAAAAATGGTGAAACACTGCATTCGAGTTGATCTTGATCACAGGCCATTTCTTTACAAAAGAGAAAAGAGTTCAGTCATTTGAGACAGCAAATCTGGCAACTTGATCAGTGGTGCTGGGAGACGAAAGATTGAGCGATTTGAAGGGTCCGAAAAAAAGATTGATGTGGATAAGATGAATGTAAACAAGATGGATTGAAAGAACCCCAGTGTGGAATATTGTCTTGAATGGGGGAACTGGTCGATTTTGGTTGCCATGGCAGTCGCAAAGGGCCAGAGTCAGTGTCCACAAACGTAGGTCACTAACCAACATACCGTGAATTCCAGCTAGACGGTTTATGATTGGTTGAGAGCGCCTTGGGGGCGGGGTCGCAGGGAGAATGAATGGGGGATCAAACAAGCTTATTGAGTGCTGAGAGACAAACCGAGGGAGTGGACAGAGATGGATGGATAGAGGAAAAGATGAAAGAACAGGACTGGTCCGAGTCGGGGCAAGGACAAGCACAAGAGCCGGCTGCGTTTTTGGTGTATCAAAGGATTCTTTGCTTTTTTTCCTTTCTTCACATTCTTGATCTCTCTTACACCTGCACAGTACAAAGCAATCTTTTTTTAGTTTTTTTTAAATAGACAAAATTGTCTCTTTCCAGTACTAACTGCCACACCAACTCCTTTCCCTTTTTCCTTCTATCACTCTCTTTCTATCTCCCACCAGCCTTTGTTGCATTTCCAACCAAACCACTCCACTGTAACGCTCCAACTGTGTTTCAGAACAATACAGAGCTTGCTATGGGCCCCTCATCTCTCTCTCTCTCTCTTTCTGCTTCCATTAAACTGAATGAGGCCCCTGGCCCCTCGGCAACCTAGGCCGGGTAATCCCGGAGCACAGAGCACCCGATGATCCTGCCGCACTACATTCCGAACCAGTCACCCAGAACAACAGAGCCTGCATTAGCGCTGAATTAAAACGGCAGAGGTTTCAGAGGCTAATGACAGTCATTTTAGCCAGCCAACGCAGGTGTGAGGGCTAGAGTGAAGGATGGATATTTGAACAGATCCGGTGGTCGGAATTTCGTTAATTACCGTTTAGACTGTAGTATCAGGTGGTGAACGCTACAAAAGATCACAGATCGAATGACAGAGATGTTGGTGGGCCAATTGTAGGAGTGTATTTACATATACAATGCCTTCCCTTTTAAACAGGTGAATGTGGTAAGAATGTTAACTTGAGCATTTCCTAGACTATTAACCAACATCCCCGCTTCTGTGTGTGTTAGAAGTGTGTGTTAAGGTCTGCGCTGCTGACTGCGAGCGTTTCCTCAACCTCTCACCCCCCACTGATCATCCCCCCTTTCTCTGAGCTCCAACATTCCAGCGAGTGATAGAGTGTTGAAATGAGAGAAGGAGAGGGAGGAGAGACCAATTGATAGACGGACTTAGAGGGGGTAAAAAAGAACAACAACGACAAAACTTTGAACTAAAGATTAAGAGACCCGAGATTAACTCCACAGTTGCCCATTTAGTGTCAGGTCAGTTCTATTGGATGAGAATTCCACTGATATTTACAGGAAGATGAGTTCAGAATTAAAGAACTTTAGCTATTCACATATTACGGTAAGCACGGACGTGACTCACAAGCACCCGCATTCGTCCGCCAACTTTCAGTCTTCATTAATGAAGCATAGATTTCATTCATTCACATTTTCACTCTAATCATTAACTCCACATTCTAATAATCTATCTAGAACTTGATTTTGTTTATCAATTTGTCACTGCTTTGGCAATACATGGATATAACTAATAAAGCATGGTCATTTACATGTTTAAGACCAAGAGAACTTTTTAAAAAAAAAAATACCACGACCCAGGACAAAGCATAAAGGATTTAAGTTCATCTATGGATGCTCAAGATGAAGTTGAGCCCAGTATGCGTGATGAATGATGCAAGAATGAGCGAATGGCATTACTGTATGAATTAAGGCATTGATAAAGTAACAGTAGTGTTTGAAAGGACACTGGCGTAGGGAGCACCCGCTGACCCCTGTATTGAGACAGAGTCCATCCCCCACTGGTTTCTCCCACCCTCCCCACTGACTCCCAGCCCCCGGAGGCTGAGGGGGGTAGCAGCATAATTGCCCCCCTCTGGGACTACTTTAATTCCAGTCTTTGTGTTTTAATTGCCCCCCCTCCCGACCCTTTTTGATGAACACATTGGGGCCATACCACAAACAGATTTTAATCAGGGCTTTAATGGGGTGTGTGTGTGTGTGTGTGCTTTTGCACCAGATGACTGCTCCCAAGCATGTGGTGACAGCAGTTAAAGAATGTGAGACGTAAATTATTATTGGCGATGAGGTATATTTTCTTCATTCATCAAACAAAGATGCATCGGTATGTGACTGCTGTACACAGCCACCAGAGAATTGAAGTGTGTGGCCGGGAGTGCTAAGTTTGGCTTTATGTGTAACGCTGTGTGTGTGTTTGGATCTGCTGTGAGTAAAAGCAGCAGGCCAATTAGAAGGGCTGTATGTGTGTGTAAGACTAGAAGGGGTCTGGAGCCAGATCGTCTGTCCTAAGACCAAGGGGTTCCCCCCCATCAACAAACAAGAAAAAGAGAGAGCGAGAGAGACTCAGCAGACTTTGATCATCGACCAGACGTGTGGAGGTTGTCACACACCGACAGAAACACCCATTCTGGGAAATAACGCTACTGGCATTTACAGCAGACAGGGAGGACAACTGAAATTCTCCAGAATCTAGGAGGATCGCAGTTAGTGTCTATGATGCTCATTGAGATATTTGTGATCCAGTATTTCAATATTTCAACTGATTCATTCCAACGCTCCTTCATTATTAGTAATATCGATGTTTCCAGATGGAAACTGTGAGTCTTAGAAGCCACACAATTCAAGGTATCAATCACATCTTTAAGGTAACCCGTGCAAGTTTTTTTGCAACTCGATTTTCCTATTGAATTTACATTTGCTCTAGTTATGTATGCTGTAATTCTCTAATCATTTAGCCCACAGTATAAACCATGCCATTTTTTTTTACCATTGAAGGCCTCCATCCAATCAACCAATGGTAAGAACTAAGCCCCCACCCAACATTTAGTCCCCCGCTAGTCCTTTTTTACTCGGATGTACGTCACAATATGAAAGAAAAGCTTGGCTACTTCTGTTTAATCGTGACTTTAAGGGCTAGGAAGCATCACTCACAAAACTTCACATTTAATAGCAAATCTCAGACTGCAAAAAAATCCGACTCCACAAGAGAGATACTTTTGAGAGTATGAGAACTGAACCTGATCACCATGCAAATAGTTGTGCCCGGGGAGCCCAAAAAAGGTTTTATAGCTCATTTTAGACCTGGCTGATGTTGAGCTCATAATGAAAATGTCTGAACCTGAGCTGAGCTCAGAAACGAACATATGGAAGCTAAAGTGGCATCCGATGATGGATGGATGTATAAATAAACGAGGGCTTTCTTTCTACCTCTGGCATTCTTCTATCAGTGGGCAGTACATAAACAGAGATAGCACACTGCCAGAAGAGCTACAGGAGCAGAACTAAGAATGAAACAAATGCTCGGGAGAGGGAGGGAATTGAGAGAAGCAGACAGGCAGACTGTCTCCGCCGCCTCCCTCCGTGTGTCAAATGAAAGGGAGAAGTGTGGCGTAGACTGGGTGTGTATGACTCCGTCAGCCGGAGTGCGTGTGTTTATCTGTAATGAGTAAGGGAGTGTTGACGAAATGCAGATTTATTTCTCTATTTGTGTTTGTGAGTCTGAGCGTGTGTTCCTGCAGATGGTCAATACTCATCACCTGGTGATGCAACCTGACAGATTACAAATGTCTGCACAAATAAGATTCTTGCTCCCACGAGGCGAGCGAGATCAATACATTGCAAAAATTAACGCCAACATGTCCATGTTCCTGCCATTTTCACCAGTACCTTGTACGGACAGCATGCGGTTTGATCAATGAACCGATGTTTAGAATAATCCATATTCATGCATCTGTCCCGGCTCTTCTTCTGCAGAGAAATCAACATACTCATCTGTCTTTCCATTGTTCGCATTTTTTGGCTTTTCTTCCCCTCCGCCATCCCTTTGTGATTTGCCGTCTGGTCGTCTTTGAAATGGTATCGTAGATCAATGCAAGGGCAATTGAAAATGTGATTGCATTAGGCTTGGCATTCAAGTCACTCGCTCTGTGAAAGTTCTCTAAATGAAGAATTCATGACACCACTGAGAGTGACATCGTTGGAGTTATTCTCGTTTTCTTGCTGCTTGTTTTCTGCCGATCTAGATCTCCCAAAATTGAGTTTTAAAGCTTATTTATGTATTTTCTTCATTGCATTGCTCTTTTACCAAAAATATTTATGATATCCCTCTTATTCTCTCAGGTTCCAATGGAACAACTATGCGGTTGAGGTACGCCTGAACGACTACCTAGATATCGTGTGCCCTCACTACCCACTGGGCGAAGTGCCGTCACAGGATGCCGAGCGCTACGTGCTCTACATGGTGGAACGTGAAGACTACGAATCCTGCCGTCCACAATCTTACGACCAGATGCGCTGGGAATGCGGCCACCCTTTCGCCCTTCACGCACCCGAAAAGTTCTCCGAGAAGTTCCAGCGCTTCACGCCGTTCACTCTGGGGAAAGAGTTCCGACAGGGCGAGAGCTACTACTACATCTGTGAGTACAGCCCTTAAAAAGTCAGCTTGCACTTAAGCTGAATGCGAACATTTATGGTGGATCGTTTTTGAAGAATGGTTAAGGGGTGGAAATGTTTTTGAACATCTGAAAACCGGTTATAGATTCATTGCCCCACAAACCATACGCTGAATGCTAAGTCTGTGAGTCATGTTTGAGCCCTTTTTTAGCACCACAGTAATGAATACATTTCAATTTGTGTTGCGGACTGCTAAACTGGCAGCAGAAGCGCTACGTGTCTTTCTGGCATCCCCACGGGCTATCCTTGGGGAGTTTGGGCTGTCGGAAACACAAGGAACGCAATTCAGCGAGCATGTGGACTAGTATGCGGAGGTCTAGAATTAACAATGGTGAAATTTGACTGCCCAATATAGACCCTTCTAGGAAAGCATACTTGTAAAAAGTTAAGGGTGGAACGTTTGATGGATAAAATGGATTAGATCTGCTTTGATGGTGTGGAAAGATCCATGTCAGTTTAAACTTGTTTTTCAAAAAAACCAATTTTCTCAACTTTTTGTCAATGGATTTGCAGCTCTGCCACCAACTCTGGTGAGTAGGTGCCTTAAGGATTAGAGTACACTTCCACCAGTGTCGTAAAATAGATCAGACACAGGTCACGGGTCCAGGTGGCTGTTAAAGAGAAGTGGATTAGCCACTACATGTCTAACACTATTAACCTCCTTTCTAATTAACCTGTCTGCTACCCTTTTACCTCCCTATTATCCTTTTATCTTCCTCTATCCTGACGGCCTTCTCTTTTTTTGCCTTACAGCCAAACCACTGCACCACCACGGAGAGGAGTGTATGAGACTCAGAGTAGACGTAGTTGCCAATGATGGTGAGTATCGCAGCCCTGGTGGCGTGTAGGTGAAACGACAGATCGTAAAACTGCACATATTTTGCATTTCAGTTGATCTGTCTATTGACTGGTGTTTTCTTCCATTCAGGTTCTCAAGAAGCCAGGGTTGGCACAGGAAGTGGATCTAAGTTGGGCACAGGGGCAGGAGCTCACACACCGTCTAATCGGTTACCAGCAGGTATGGTCACATCGATTTAAGTTTTAAGGGGTTAGTTCACCCAAAATTCTGGAATTAATTACCCTCATGTCATTCTAAACCTAAATGCTACATTCACACCGGACGCGAATAGCGCGTCAGGCGCGAATGATTTCAATGTTAAGTCAATACAAAGACGCGCGATGCGTGTAAAAAAAAAATTTCCTGTGCCGCGAATGAGGTGTAGAGCATGGTGCGGTAGATGCAAATACGCCTCATTAGTGCGCCAAGTTCGAGCGAATGGCGCGAATTGAGCACCTGATAATCTAGATTATATGAAATAGTATTATGATGTAAAGACAACCAACTTACACGTGCATAAATTCGTGTCTGGACGTGAGAGAGAAAAAAAACACAGGACAGGTTTATAACTTTTGAAGGCTGGCTCTATTTATCATCAAAACAAAAATAAATGACAGCTAGATGAGGTGGATGAGGCCGAGGGTGATCCTCGCTCCTTTGCGGGACAACAGGTCATCAAACTGGGCGCGGGACAGGCGGAAGTACCGCTGACAGCGGCCGTCTTCCAGGCGCAGCTCCTGGAGCGAGCAAATGGTGAAACTCGCCAAACGGTTCTCTTCCGAAGGGTCCGGTGGACACAAATATGGCAACGATGATCCCCACGCCGCTGTTCTAGCTCTTCAGAGCAAATACAGAGCGGTGAATCTCCCGATGAATGCTCGATCAACATAAAAAAAGATGGCCGCCAACGGGTTTCGATTCTCACGTGCATAAATTTCGCTTCAAACTTTTGATTTTTTTTTTTCGAATTAACACAAAGTGGTCAAGCGTCAAACTAGACGCGGTAGACGGAAATTTGACGCGCTGTTCGCGTCCAGTGTGAACGTAGCAGACTTCCGTTCATCTTCGGGACACAAATGAAGATTTTTTTTATGAGATCTGAGAGAAAAACTGAAATATCTAATATTATTTCCATGTTACAGATGATCCTGTTGTGGTTCTTCCTGAAGTGCAGCAAAGCAAGCGAACAAACTCCGCCATTTCAAGAGCATCCTGGACTGTTCTCACAACCTTACTCCCCCTTTTACTGTTGTTGGTCTTACAGTGAGATGAACACTGGACTAAATTTCACTGTTTAAAAAAAAAGAGAATGACGGCGGCCTGTGTCGATGAAAGCACACAGAGGTAGCTCTTTACATCCCAGTGCTGGCCATTGGGAGAAGGATACAGGAAGTGGAGTGGAGAAGCCTAACTGGAAGAAGAGGGCTTTCGGACACTTCTAAAGAAACAAAAAAACGAGACGTCAGTATTTTTCTGGAAATATAGTTCATGCGAAGGGAGATGTTTTCCCTTTTACCATTTTTCTTTCTTCATATAAACGCCTGAGCACTCTGGATAAGAACAAACTGAAACAGTAATGCAGATTTGGAATTAGCATGAACTTGGAATATGGACAACCCCCTTTATTTGAGTGTCATAATGATGGGACGCAAGCCAAGAATGAGCCAAAGAGCACAGAGCTTCTCATGGAGGAGTAGAGCGATCAAAACTATTCATGTTTTGTACATCCAGAGAAATAATTGAGTTTCGTATTAATTTATGTAGCATCAGCTTAGTGGGTTTTATTCTCACCGTCTCATGGTTTTACAAGACTGTACCTGGATTTAACCTGGAAATGCAGTACGGAACACACACGTACCCCTTTACCGCCGAAATGGTGCTGGTGCCTGTGATGGGACATCTGTGGAAATAAACAGAGCGGTTCCAGATTGGGCGCCGGCACCCTAACGGCGGAAAACGGCGGCATCCGATACTGTTTACCAAACCCTCTGACACACTTCCATTCAGAAATGCTGTGTTGTTTTTGTACATTCATTGTTTAAAGAGTTAGTAAATTATTAGTTTTGCTGCAGAACAAATTACTGTATATAGTGAGCAAAAATGTTTACTGTGTGATGGAGAGAGAGAGGAAATGAGACGTGAGAGAGGAGAAACTCGTTGGATTAATGTGTTGAAGTGTACATGAGAAAGTGACCAAAAGGGAAATTGGATTATTGGATAAATACACACGTTTCTTCCCAAGTGTGTGTGGAGCTGTGAGGGTATGTCCTGGCACCCTCAGCATTTAAACTGCCAAGCACAATCAATGAGAAGCACACTCTCACACAATCACCTGGAAATGAACTTCATAATTAAGAACAGAAGTTTTGACTTCATCTAAGCTGTTCATTGGGCGGAAATTGGACTACACTAAATATTGCAGTTGGCCAAATTATATTTTTAATTTTAATAAATTTATGCTGGTACTCGCTGATATCAAAATATCAGGGTAGCACATGTGTATTTGAACAAAAATGACATTTATATATATATATATATATATATATATATATATATATATAAAATTCGATGATAGCAAATGAGATATTTGGCATTAACTGAACATAATATTTTATTTTTAAAAAATCCACCACAAATCAAAAAAGCAGAGACTGATGAATCGCAAAATGGCGCCTGATTAACTGGCCTGTCTGAAATACTGGTCTGTCACTACAATATAAGCTTTTCTATTTTATTGTAAATCGACATATACTATAAGGAAAATTTAGTGTGGGGATACTGGACCTGGTTTACACAGATTAATAACACGAATCATCTAAAGCACTATGAACGAGACGCCACATACACTGACTCTGACATGATGTAGCCGTTTAAGCTCAATTCCGGACAGTTGTTCGTACGACTGGCACAGCTGTATACGAAATAACGTTGGGTCACTTTGATTCATTTTTCCATTTTGTTTTTCATTTTTTATTCTCGTATTCTTATTTTGTACATGTATTGTGTAAAATGTATATTATGTATATAAAGAGGATTATATAAAAAAAGACCTTTGATAAAAAAAAACAGTTAATGTGAAGATTCTTATGTGAAAATAAATGATATTTTTGGAAAATGCGATTGTAGCCGACCTTGTTTTTTTATATACGCATTACACTTGTATATACTTACATTTTTTGCAGTGCTTTCAATACTTTATTCTTTAAAGTCACCATGAAATAAAAATGGACATTTCTTGTTTTTATGGAATATTGCAGTATTTATTATAAATGATTTGGTGCACATTTTTTTAATTCATGAGTTCTTTTAAAATTTACTCCACTTTTGCAGCAACATCTCTTCTCAGATGACGTGTTTACTGGTGTGAGGGCGGGGCAACCTGTCACTCACATGAGATCGACCAATAGCAAACCACAACCATCCAATCAGTTCCCAATGGACAAAAACAAGCCCGGCTCTACAATTTCTCTTGTTCAGAGTGGGATATACGTCACAATAGGGAAGAAAAGAATCGCAACTTTCGCTTCATCTCGACTTAAACAATAACAATCGTATTACATTGTATATTTTGACCACCCAACATCCCGGACCAAAACTATCTGAGCTCATTTAGAACAATGATAATTCCGAGCAAAAGCGCATATTGTCCTGTTCGTATGTCAATAGGATGAAGTATTTTGTGTCTCAGGGTTTATGATTCACCGGTGACAGGAAAAAATCACAATGGTCGGAGGTCAGAGGCATCAGTCTGACCGTGTGTGTGTGTGTGTGTCTCAGGAGGATGGCTCTTCCCTTTGTATTCTGGCTAAACTTGGAGCTTTGCCCGACGGCTCAGTAAACATACACACACCTCTTCTGTTATTGTTTGCCATTTTAGAAGCTCTCATTCGCTTCATTCCAATGCTGTGCATGTACGCATCAAGCTCAAACTATTTCAATATTTGTTTGCCATGAAAAAAAAAGACAAATAAATTTATTTCTGGGATTTATGGGAGGATTTGTTAATTAAAAGGAGTAGTTCACTTTTAAAAAGAACTTTTGCTGATAATTTATTCACCCCCATGTCATCCAAGATGGCCACGTCTTTCTTTTTTTAGTTGAAAAGAAATTAAGGTTTTTGATGAAAACATTCCAGGATTTTCTCCATATAATGGACTTCACTGGGAACCAAACGGTTCAAGGTGCAAATGAGTTTCAGTGCAGCCTCAAAGGGCTTTTCATTTAGATCAGGGGTAGGCAAGTTCGGTCCTAGAGAGCCGCTGTCCTGCAGAATTTAGTTCCAAACCTAATCAAACACACCTGAACAAGCTAATCAATGTCTTCAGGATTACTAAGGCTAAAGGCAGGTGAGATTTTGTTCAGTGTTGGAGCCAAACTCTGCAGGACAGCGGCTCTCTATGACCGAACTTGCCAACCCTTGATTTAGATGAACGAGTTTGAGCATTTGTGCTTATAAAACTTAAACTTTTTTACTTATTTGTGAAATGACGATCGTTTCGCTTGATAAGATGCTTATTCATCGTCTGGTGTTGTTTAAAGACCTTTGAAGCTGCACTGGAACTTGAACCGTTTGGTTCCCAATGAAGTCCATTATATGGAGAAAATCCTGGAATGTTTTCATCAAAAACCTTAATTTATTTTCGACTGAAGAAAGAAAGACGTGGACATCTTGGATGACATGGGGGTGAGTAAATTATCAGCAAAAGTTTTTTTTTAAAAGTGAACTACTCCTTTAAACCAACATTTGGTCCAACAGCTACTCTGGTTAATTTAGCTATGTGATTTTAATGTACATTGTTATTGCTAGAAAATTACAAATTCACCAAAAAATCACACTCGTCGTAAAATTGGCAAACCTCACAGAAAATGAATAGAAAAAAAAATTCAACACTGTATTTTTATACCCTACTCGTGCAGTATCACGACCTTTTCTTTCTTTTTTTATTTACCTATCAATGTCTCCATGTCTTTCTGAATCGCAGCATCTCATTTTCTCACTCTCTCTTCGTTTCTTTCAGCCTCCGTTCTTCGTTTACCTTCCCTAAAGCTCTCTTTTTTTCTCTCTCCGTCTCTCTGTCTCTGTCTCCTACACACTATTGTTCCTCCCTTCCTCCTGCTCATCTCCAGAGGCCTTTCTTTTCTTTTTTCTTCTTACTTTATGGCTGTGTCCGTAAGAGCAGCTGTCACACTGCGCAGCTCACACCCTGACTGTGTGTTTTCAGAGCTTTGACCCCACGACTGTAAATCAGCCCCTCTCTTAACCGTTTGACCTCCTCTGAAGAGTTTAGGGAGTTTAAAAGAGAATAAGTGGCACTTTACTAGAGGACTTTTGCTTTAAATAGTCATTATTGCTAAAGAGGAACCACAGAGTCAGTCGAAAGACTGACAAAAGGGGACAAAACAGGAGCCGGAATGAAAAATCGTGTCTGGAGATAAAGAGCTCGGTATGATGTGGGAATCTGTTTAGGTAGAGATACTAAAAAGTTTGTTATAAAATAATGATTAAATTAAATTAAAATGATTTAAAATATAAATGTACAATATTTATAAATATATTAGATCATTTCAATCATTTATAATATTTTGAAGAGTTCAGATGCAAAAGCCTCTAAATGCCATTTGAAATTTTCTTCTTTAATGATAATTTTTTTATCAAACTTGTATATTTAAGTTTAGTAATTTCACTTGCCATTTAAGTGAAATTACTGAACTTAAATATACAAGTTTGATAAAAAATTATCATTAAAGAAGAAAATTTCAAATGGCATTTAGAGGCTTTTGCATCTGAACTCTTCGTATATTTAATGCTCTCTTCTATTAACTTCCATTTCACAGTTTTCACTTTGAACGGACGAGTCAAAGGTGTTTTTTTTTTTGTGCTAACGGGCTGCGTGCAATTCCACAAATTTGTGCATTTTTCTGCAATTGAAATGGGTGAACTTCAGCAGTGTCAAAGAGCCTAAAAAAACAAGGGAGGCAAGATCTCTCCCTCCTTCCAGCATATAATTCATCTCACTTCTGGGAAAAATGTTGGCCTTCTCTTATCTGCTTTGAATGTCTCCTGAAGATTAAGAGTGTTACTTACTTTTTTTTTTTTTGCAAGATAATGCACTAAGTTGGTCCTGCACATCTGTTTCTGTGCTTTATGATAAATATGTTGAGCTTTTTTTGTCCTTGAGCTACAAATACACTTTGAGAGAAGGTTTGCATTTACACACACACAACTTTGATCAAGAAATATGCTTAGCACGGTTTCTCCTTGTGCAAGTTGGGGCAAATAGTACTGTGGCTTTGTATCCAATTTCTGTTATTCATCTGATAAGACAAACACCATCCTTAGATTATGATAACACTTTGTCTAGTCATATTTAAAAAGGTCCTGTTAAAGGGTTAGTTCACCCAAAAATGAAAATTAAGTCATTAATTACTCACCCCCATGCTGTACCAACCCCGTAAGACCTTCGTTCGTCTTCGGAACACAAATGAAGATATTTTTGATTAAATTTGAGAGCTGTATAACTACCACATTGGCTCCTAAGGGACTGCCTCTTGACGGCCCAAAAAGTCAATGAAGAAAATGTTTAAATATCCCAAGTGACTACCGTGGCTCAACTATATGTTTATCAAGCGACGCGAATACTTTTTGTGCGAAAAAACAAACAAAAATAACGAGTTTATTCGACTATTTCTTTTCTTCCTTGTAGGCCAGAACGAGACTTCCTTATAGATTTCCACGACGCATGCGCGAGAATTGCGATCTGAAGTAGTGCTGGTGTAAGCAGATCGCAAATCTCGCGCATGCGTCGTGGAAATCTATAAGGAAGTCTCGTTCTGGCCTACAAGGAAGAAAAGAAATAGTCGAATAAACTCGTTATTTTTGTTTGTTTTTTCGCACAAAAAGTATTCGCGTCGCTTGATAAACATATAGTTGAGCCACGGTAGTCACTTGGGATATTTAAACATTTTCTTCATTGACTTTTTGGGCCGTCAAGAGGCAGTCCCTTAGGAGCCAATGTGGTAGTTATACAGCTCTCAAATTTAATCAAAAATATCTTCATTTGTGTTCCGAAGACGAACGAAGGTCTTACGGGGTTGGTACAGCATGGGGGTGAGTAATTAATGACTTAATTTTCATTTTTGGGTGAACTAACCCTTTAAACTGTTAAAAAAAGTTGTTGCATTCCATTTTACTGTAAGTATAATCAACTTGGATTTTTATACCAAGCGGTTCCCATTCCAAAAGAGAGTTTTAGTGCAAAATGAACGAATCTTTTCCCGAGTCAACTCGTTCATTCCGTCCGTTGAATGAACCAAATGACATGAAAAAAGATTCGTTCATTTTGATGAACAAGTTCGAACAGGAGAGATCACAGAACAGAGCATTTGAGCTTATAAAACTTAAACTTGTTTTTAAATGAGCGATCGTTTCGCTTGATAAGACCCTTATTCATCGTCTGGAATCGTTTAAAGCTCTTTGAACATCTTGCAGTTTGCACTAAAACTGTCTTTTGGACCTTGAACCGCTTGGTTCCCATTAAAGTCCATTATATGGAGAAAAATCCTGGAATGTTTTCATCAAAAACCTTAATTTCTTTTTGACTGAAGAAAGAATGACATGGATATCTTGGATGACATGGGGGTGAGTAAATTATCAGCAAAAGTTTTTTTAAAAAGTCAACTACTCCTTTAAATCGACTTTAAAAATGAGTTGATTAATGTGCCGAAAAGGGGCGGGGCTACATAAGGTCTATTCACAACAGGAATAGTGGATGAAAGTCACAAATTGAACAGGAAGTATATGGTGAACACAGGCTGTTCATGTAGGTGTTATGTCTAATATCATTTTTGCTCATATTCAGTCATTCGGTGGACGAAGCAGGTTGGAGAACAGCAGCAACTTGTCTGGACACAGCATGGGTATCAAGGGGAGAGAAATATGACACAAGTCTTCCTCAGACAGCATATGTCTCATACTGTTAGAAAACATGAACAGGGGGGTGGAGAGACTCGTAAAATAATGATGACATTAAT